GGCCCCAACGGACCAAAAGACAGTGTCGCAGCACTATGACAAATTCTAGATGCTGACTTGTTTCGACGATTCTTATTGACTCCAGATGAATTTTGACGTGAAACCAAAGCCATTGGTAAGCTTATGAAATTACCTTTCCGTGCATATGTGGATCGTCGAAAACGAAGTCTATATGCGTCTTGGGCGTTGAGTTTACGTGGGACTGCTCCTGGAATCCAAAATGGACCAACTTGAATTGGACTGGGCCTCCGCCATGGTGTAGATGAGTTGGACGCCCATGTTGGTCCTCTTCATTTCCTTGGCTTGTATTTGGTTCTAAAAAAATACTTAACTTGTATTTGAAGGAGTGATCGATGTCCTCATCAAACTCTATAAGGAATGTTTCTTTAAGATGGTTTTGTGCAGCCCCATAAACTAAAAACAGAATCCACTTAAAATCATCATTTTTGTTTCTTAGTTTGAATTTAACAAAGAAATCTCCTCCTTCAATCTCTGGTGCATCAAACGCCTGTGTGGATTGATACCTAAAAGCATGCCTCCAGATCAGCCTCGAGGAGTTTATAGTGCCACAAATAATTTTTATCCTCGCAAAGATTTTTAAGGAAAATCATGGAACAATCCCTCCTCCCAGTTTCTGATAGATCAATAAAATCTAAACTTTTTTCACGCACTACATCTGACAAGAACTTAAACTTATTCAGGTCTCCTAACCCATTGCAATTCCAAAAGATCTCTTTCATTGAGTAACTTAATTTTTTTAGTACATTTCTTTTTCTTTTGTGAACTTGACCTTTTCTTTCTCGGAATTATTGCCTGTAGATCACATAGATCACTTGCATCCCCATCGCTCACAGTCTCAGTTACCTCACCACAGAAATGATTTAACGTGAGAATGTCAAGTTCACCATCTGAATCATATAGAGAAAAAACGTGGTCCTTGTTTGAACTATTAGAACAAGGAACATTAAAATCCTTAGAGGCTAACGGTAGTTTACTCTTCTCAATATGTTTCAAATTTAGTGTGCATCTAAAGTAGCAAAAACTATGTATCTAGAAAAGCTAAAACGTCTTATAATTTGGAATAGAGCGAGCACTTGTTTGTAGCTCAAACGATCAAGAAACAGATATGTGCTAGGTAGCATAATGTGATGTGGGCCTGTGGCCAAGGATTCCTGATTAGCTTGCTCTTCATTCTTCCATTAACACTGGTTAATTTGAAGACACGAGCCATGGGAGGTGTTTGGTTGCCCCAAAATACTCATGTCCAGCCCCCCATGAATGATCTGTCTACCAATGTCACCATGGAACAGCTATCTTGCCCATTTTAGCAGTCTAGCAGTAATATGTTCTTTCAGTAACATACTAACATAGTATGCCATAACGCAGGAGTATTCTTTACTGTCATCATGATTATTGTACCTGATTAATTAGCAGCTCGTAATTGTTAGAAAGAATTCATGCTCACTTCTCCACATCACAAATTTTACACGATCCCTCAAAGGATCACTAAGCACGGATATTTTTATATTAAAAAATGAAAATCAATAAGCATAATCAGGCACGTGTACATCGAGAAAATCAAGTCCAATCCAATTCAAAACAAATGAAGAAGAGAACACCTGGAAAGAAATAATAATGAATGAAATGAAGAATCAAACCCAAACCAAATTAAAAGTGAGTGAACACAGACACAAATTTAAAGAATATCAATGATGGTCTCATCATGTATATATATGACCGATGCCCATTAGCAAACATATATTGGTCAGCTGAATCCTCTCCAAAAAGTATATGGTATCTTCGAACGAGTTAATAAGCTCGTGTTGCAGTAGTAAACTAGTAATTACCTTATGCATGTATCTAATAACCAACTGGACTTAGCATGGCCGTCACTAGTGTAGCACCCTAAAATTTACATGATTTTAAAATAGGAGAAAATAATTTAATTATGCATTTTGTGAGCATTTAAATTTAGAAAAATAATAATGTTGTTAAAATTAAAATTAAATATAGGTCTACATACATGTATGTGCATACGTGCTGCTGCATATTATTTTTGAATTGTGTGATTTGAAATCAAACTTCAAATTGATTTGAATTTGCATTTCAAAATTAGTTTGAAAAATTAGAAAAAGGAAAAGGAAAAGGCTTTTCTTTCCCTCCTCTCTATTTGGCCTGTTGGCCCTGTCTCGCTAGCCCAGCTCCGTTCACGCGCCGCTTCGCTCGCGCGGCCTGCTCTCCTCTCCCCGTGGCCCAGCAAGCGCCGGCCCAGCTTCGCTCGGCCCGCAGCCAGCGCCGCGCCGCGCCCGCGTTCTCGCCACTCTCCTCTCGCTGACGGCCTAGCCCCACATGTCAGCAGCGCCGTCTTCCTCCTCGCGCGTGACCGGGTCGGACACTGCCGTCGCTGGGAATCCGCGCCGCCCACGCCCCTCCTTGTCTTGTGCTCCAAGTTGCTTCCGGCTATAAAAATCGGATGCCCACATCGTGCCGCGCCTATCTCGAGCTTCGGAGCCGTAGCTGCCCTTGCGTCGTGCCGAGCCTCGCTAACCCTAGCACCGCCGCCATCTCCGCCGCCTCGTCGAGCACCACGCTGCTCTCGTTCGCTTCACGCCGAGGTTAGCTACCTAGCCGAGCTCGCCGTCATCTCCTCTCTCTCCCAGTGCCCTTGGTTTGCTGTATCATGGTCTGTAGACCGACAGCCTGTTCGGTTGGCTGAATCGTATCGTTGCTGGTTCGTGAAGAAGTACTGCTGGCTGGTTTGTGTGAGAGAAAAATACTGTTCTGGCTGGAAATTTACGATCGTTTACGACAAGCCACAACCAAACGAACAGGCTATGAATTCGACGAGCACCGCCCGTCTCCGGCCATGGCGCCACCGTGGAGCTCGCCGCCGACCTCGTCGGCGTCTCCCATCCCTTCCAGATCTGTTTTGAGCCGTCCAATCTGAAATCCATGGCTGAGATTAGAAGATATCCCTTGGCTGCGAAATTTGCAAAAAGGCCCTTACAATTAATTGGATCTTAACCCGCCGTCCTTGTATTTTTTCTAAAGAGCCCCTCGGGTTTCTGATTATAGAACCCGCAGCCCAACGTGCAAATCCTGAATGTGTTTTCTTCTTTAGAAAGCGTAGTTTCTTTGGGATTAGATTCAAAATACGTTTTCATCTATTTACAGTTTTGCCACTAATCTTGTTCTAGGCTATAAAATCTTCGTTTTAACTCCGATTTGATCCGTTCAACTTGCGTTAGGTTCATAATTGCATAATCTACATATTCAACCTACTGTTAAGTATGTTTTCAACTTTTAAAATTTGAGGTTAGATTTAATCTATTATTTTACTAAAGGAAATCTTGTTTAATTCATAACTTCTTCGTTTTAGCTCCGATTTTTGTGATCTTCGCATCTGTGTGTTCGTAGTGAAACGCAGATTCATTTTACAAACTTTTCATCATGATTTTATGTTGTTGGTGTACTGTTCTAATCTATAGCTTTTGTTTGCTATGCATGATTGCTTCTGGATGCTTGTATGTTGCTGTGATTATCGAGTATGGCCGGTGAGCAATTCGTGGGAGACCAAGAGTATTATTTTGACGAGCGAGATCAGTAGGAGCATTTTGTTCAAGACAAGTATATCATGGGATCATCCTTGTTTCCTATCAACTTTAATATACTAAATTCATGTTGCATGTGTCACCTTGATAGGGATTCCCTAGAATTGAACTTATACCTTGTCTCCTATGGGATATGCATTGGGTAGCTTTGCTAGTGCTCAATTAAACCATGATCTTGTAACTTGACTAATGGTATATGCAATAAACATTAAAACATGACTTTTTAGCAACTTGGAAACAGGGGGCTAAAGTATTTAGCTATTTTCTAAATGCTTCAGATTTCTCTCCCTAAGGACTTATCTGTAAACGATCATTCGGGACTTACAGTACAGCTGTGAGGGCTATATGGCTCTGGCTTTAGCTCAGTATGAGAACCTTTTCTAGCTTGTTAGAGGTTACCTTTATTGGCGTAAGAATGGCTTGACGAATCGGGTATAGGACAGCCTCTACTTTTATGTGTATAGCCGTGATGGAATTGTGCCATTCGACAGGAGGTTCCTATATCTGTTTACTGAGTGAATCTAACGGCCCTCACTTGTTAGACGAACCTTTAAAAAGCTTCATAGTGACTCATGCCTGCTTACCTTGGAAGTGTTTTGGGAGTAATTAACCCGGGCATATGGGTATCACGACTCACAGTGAAAGTGTATAACCTCTGCAGAGTGTAAAACTGGTATATCAGACGTGCTCATGGTCATGAGCGGCCTTGGAACCCTTATGGAATAGATGATCACTAAGAATTATCCGTTTATGCTATTCATTATTCATGTTTACATTGATCATGTGTTTTACTTTGGAATTGAACCAACTTGTTGCTATACTTATGCTAAAATTGTGACAATTAAAAATTGAATGCTGTCAAACCTGTGTCAAGCCTTTTGAGCCTCATGAACTCCATGTTACACTTGTTGAGTAAGACACGTACTTACGCTTGTTTATTTTTATTATTTGGATAAAAATCTCGGATGGGTAACAGATGGCTATGGTAATGACGACTTCCCTGAGGATTACTAGACTTGTGGTCAACCAGTTGACGTCACTGTGATATGGAGCTTCCGCGAGAGAATTTTTCTTTATACTTCCACTATATTTATGTGAAAATTATGTCTTATTATTCATGATGTAATAAACACTTGTGATGATACTATTTATAATTTATCGGCTTATGTGTGAATGATCTCTGGGCGCATATAAGATTTTGTATGCCATTTTATCCTTAAAATCGGGTGTAACAACTAGTACCTAGCTGCCCCATTTATATGTACACAGAAAAATCTATTAAAGGGGCGTAAGTAAAGAAGAAGAAAAATGGAAATTTGGCCTCTGGATTCCATGGGCGAATAATGGTCGTGAGGTCAGGTGACATGGTGAGTCAACTGAACGTTACTACTACGCCAGCATGTTGCCGCAGTCGAGCTGCTGCTTGTCGGCGCCGCACGAGGCGCAGATGGCAGCGCCCAGGCTCGTGGACGAAGCCGCCGCCCGGCGGAGGTCGGCGAGGTCCCGCCTGAGGCGGGCGTTGTCGTCGGTGAGGCGGTCGCACCAGCGTCGCAGCAGGTCGCAGTCGACCTCTGTCTGCTTGAGCTTGGTCCGCGCCCGCCGGTTCTGGAACCACACGTCCACCTGCCGCGCGCTCAGCCCCACACGCCGCGCCAGCTCCTGCTTCTCTCCCTGCTCGATCCGATTCGATTCATCAACGAATTTGCATTTGATTAGTCGATGAACTGAATTGAGGAATGGAAGAGATGAATGAAGAATTATGCATGCATACGACATACGCGAGAGAGGATGTTGTGGGCGCGGAAGCTGTCCTCGAGCATGGTGGCCTGCGCGGCGGTGAGCCGGAGCTTCTTCCTCCCGCCGCCGCCGCCGCCGTCGCCGTCGTCGCGGCACGTCGTCTTGGACTTCTTACTCTGATGCCTATCAGCAGCAGCGGCTGTGGCGGTGCCACCGCCGGCGGCTGCGTCTCTCTTCTTCTTCCTGCTCGCCGTCGCCGCCGCCCCAGTCGGCCGGCCCCGGTGGTGCTGAAGTGCTTGCGCTTCGTCACTGTCACGAAGATCATCGTCCTGCACCGACAGCACCTCGCCGAACAGCTGCACCGTCCGCGGCGGCGGTGCTAGCCACAGGCTCTTAGCTCCTCCTCCTCCGCTGCCGCCGCCGATCCCCAGGGACAGGTGCGTGCCGACCTCCTCCGCGGACACGGGCACGGAGTAGTACTGCTCCTCCATGCTGCTGCCGGCCGTGGTGAGGCTAGACATGGCGATATGATGGCGATCGATCGATGGAAGTGGCGAGATATGGACCTAGCTAGACGGCTCGACGAGAGAGAGAGGAGGAGGAGGAGGCAAGGCAAAGCAGCGTGGCGGCCGATGAGTGCACAGGCTGCTGGTGCGTGCGTTTATATAGGTGGCATGAAGGAGAAGGGCGGCCACCACCGTACCAGTCCACCATTCGGGCATTCCATTCCACACCAACCTTAACCTGATGGAGGATTGGATTGGAGGGGACAAGGTCGTAGTACGGTTTCGTGTGGGGGTTAATGAAGGGGCAATTAGGTTACTAATGAATGGGGGTAATGGCAGGAATTAGTACACGCGTTGATGCATGCGTGGTTGGAGTTGGACTCAGGGACCAACCTACCTACCTACCTACCTGATTTAATTTACTAATTGGGATTGGAATAAATGTCAATCAAGAACAGGAAACAGCTGCTGCAGGTGACATCGGCATGGCAGGGCAGACAAGTCGTCGGTCTGACGGTCTCATTGTTGGAGGTCAAGATCAGGTGTCTTACAATTGGCCTTTTTGTTGGGAAACCGATGGCAGTTTAAGACTAGATAGCGTACCAGGTACTCTTACCGTATTTAACAAGCGTTAACTATATACTATAGTAGTACCCTTCCAACTTAATGTACCAATAGTTAACATACAGTATATACTAGTAGTATTTGGGGAGGTACTTTATGGGGTGTACTATTAGGATTGAAGAAAAGTCAAACTTTGTAGGTTTTGATGAATATTACCATTACTCAAATTATATGCAAGGTTAATATAATATATAAATACATACTGATCATGAAACAATATACTTCTATATTTTAAGCGCGTGTAACTCCAATAGAAGATCTAAATTGTTTTGGAGACAAAAAAAAACGTCTTCAACAGACTAGTCAAATCGCTCGGTAGAGTTGGATAAGCATCCTCGCTCACCATTTGGCCTCTTCGTAGGAGATCCATGTGGGCCCGGGAACTCCTAGTAACCGCACTCCGACGAGACTCGTCGATCTTGTCAGAGTCGGTTGACAGGGAAGAGGGCTCGTGACGGGCCTGTTCGGCTGGTATTAAAGCTGGCTGATAAGTCGGCTGAAGATGTTTTGTTGTAAGAGAACAAATTGATATTCAACCTCTAAGATGTGCAATGATGTGGAGTGAGCCCATCTTAGAGGTTGAATATCAATTTTTTACCGAGGCTGTTGGAGTAGTTCAATTATTTTGAAAGGTTTTTATTTAGAGAATAGGTAAATCACTAAATTTAGCTAATCTCTTAGATGTATAAAAAAGAAACCAAGGGAGGGCCTGGAACGGAAATATTGCCAGGTCCATCTAAGGTTTGTCCTAGTTGATTTTTTCACCTATATAAAATTGAAACAACATACTGTTAACATTGCTAGAACTTGTTTTGAAAACTCTAGTTTTAAGGTAATATATGTGTTTTGAGTATTACTATATCCATCAAATAAAAGACAGTGTTAGCGTACCGATATATATAGAGGTATAATAGTACTTCCTCCAACCTCCACACACACCACACACATAAAGAGTGTTCCCTCATTAGTTTCCTTTTTTACATATTTTGAATGAACATTTAAAGTTTTGTATGTCGAGCTAGATTACTAGTACTCATCTCCAAAAATATTTTCAGAACTTCAGGATATGCTAATTCTGCTGTTAATTTTCTACACTACCTACAAGGTACTAAATATATAGCGGTTGTAGCGGCCACAATAGCGGTAGCGGTCTCCTACCATTACTGCTATCATAGCAGACTGGATTTAGCAAGTTGAAACTTAGCGGCTACTATTTGAGTTAGTAGGCTGCCATAGCTATCCGTGATCCGTTAACTTGCACCAACCCGGCACAAACCCGCTATATGGTATTTAAATACCTTGACTACCAAATATCACTAACAAACAAAAACCTGTCTTAGTGATGTGTGATGACCATGTCAGTGCTCCACATACATTATATAATAAATAGTACTACCGTTGCACGCGTGGACGGTCAAAAGCAGCAGTGTGGACCGACTCTTGAGGACAAACATGCGAACGAGCTACTCCCTCTTGTTTTGTAAATATACGTCGTTTTCACTTTACGAGAAATAACTATGACTAAACATATATATAATATATTAATACTAATAGTGCATAATTAATATTAGTGGATAGATATTTGAATCTAGTTTTTTTAAAAAAAACTCGATCCGCGGTGGCTAGATAGCACCCGATATTCCGTCTTAAGAAGAAGATCTTCTCACGCAGATAAAAAAAACCATCAAACTCCTACCCCACCCTTACACAACGGCACCGTAGCTCCGTAAGATGAGATGGTCACAGATCTGTGCTTTGGATATGGAACAGACGAGGGAGTTTTTTCCCCTCCTCATCGATGTGGCTAATAAAGCCACGAGACTGAGTCCCTTGAGACTGAGTCCCTCGGGACTCAAGCTCTAACCACCCTTATTCAGAGATAAAAATGTTGCACATATTTTTTATGAATCGAGTTAAATTTTTAGTATGGAAACAACTATGACAGTTAATTGGGACATATGGAATATATATATTATATATAATTAAAGGCACAAGATATAGGCTAAGTGATTACTGGCTGACACTTGAGACGCGCACGCAAGCGATGGACGCAATGATCGGGCGATTGACTTGTCGTCTTGTTGATAGATGAGATGACCAATAATGCATGCAAGAGGTCAGGTCGATGAGCAGCAGCTCCAGCGGCGTACGGGTGTAGTGCATCTTTTGTGTCGCGTAGTAGTACGTAGACCATGCAAGCAAGCATGACTGCAAAGCGAGCTGCATGGGTACACGGTACGGTAGGTTAGGGAGCTGCCGGCGACCGGGTGCGCTTGCTCGATCGGAATCGGATCTTCCAAGCTACTAGTTCCATTCCACACGGCGTACGATCGTGATCAGGGACGACGACGACGACGACGGGGATGGAGGGGGGTTTCTTGCAGCAGCCTGCTTGACCAACCCGTCATGCATGCAGAGTACTCGTATCGTACGTGTCACACAGCATGCCCTGCCTGCTGACCACGTGGATCGCGGTTCACGACACGTACGTACCTGCGTAGCAGCTAGCAGTAGTATAGAGGGAGAATACACAATCGGTCTCCCCCGGCCTGATGACCTGCCGCCTGCCGGCACACATATATTGTTCACACATGTACATGGAATATATAGTAGGGAGAGGAGGGTGTGTGAGTATACGTGGAGTAGCGCACATATATATAGTTCTTCCTCTGTTACCAAATAAATTATTTTTAAAATCATTTTCAATAAAGTTTTCCTAATTTTGACCAACTACGTTTTCCTCTGTTACAAAAAAATTATTTTTAGATTTCTACCCATTTTATTGGTCCTTTCTCCCCTAACTAAGAGCACCCGCAGCGTGAGAAAAGTCGATGCTCCGAAATGAGAGAAGGTCCAAGCATCGTTTTTCATGCTGCAGTGTGTGGTGCTTGGATAAAAAATGCTGGCATCCATGCTTCTTCAATCATCGGTGCTTGGTTGTTAAAAAATGTTTCATCTCGTTGTGCTTGCATGTACGTCAGGCATGGAGAGTTCTGTACCAAGCTTGAAAACTGCAGCATACAAAAACGATGCCAGTTTTTATGACATGGGAATAAAAAATTTCAGGCATCGAGGTGACGAGGTCTGCCACTGCGGGTGCTCTAATTCCACGAGGAATACATTTGTGGCATGGAGCTATCCTGTATGGTTGTATGCAGCATCGTGCCATCATCATGTTCATGTCGATCGCACTCACACATATATACATCATACGTACGTACATATATATGGACATACTATATATTACGTGCACGTCATGTAGAATGCAACAAGTATACAGCTTTATTACATGCATGCCTCTCGGTCGTTTGCCCCGACCTCATGCATATGTATCCCGATTCCCGATACGTACGTATGAAGTGGATGCATGCACGCCGTGCAACCGACGCCGGCTCGTCGTCGTCGTCGTCCACGGAGCCGCTGATGCGATGAGACGAAACGCTCCGCGCCTGACCTCACACATGCGGAAACTGTCGCACAGCACACACCAGGTCAGCGTCCGTGAGCTACCGCCAGTTTCCGTTGGAACGGCCGGCCACAGCGAACGTGCCAGCAGATACATCATATATGGTACAGTATTGGTACGGGACGTACACAGACGCAGGCATTCCTTCGATCACGTAACTACGTCTGGCATGATGATTTGTTTCCATGATTATTAATATTAACTGACTAAACATACTAGTCCATGCATCAACAACCAGGTATGTCATCGGGTTAGAATTTCAAGAGGCACCTTAGAAGGAAGTTATTGTTTAATACTTCTCCCGTTCCAAATTATAAGACTTGTCTTTTATAGAATACAATGTTTTTATTATGCATCGTCATCTAGACATAGTATATACCTACGTACAAAGCAGAAGTTATTGAATATAGCACTACTACATGATCGAATTTGCGCGACGTCGCCCGGGTGGCCTCCGTGGCGGGCATTTTTTTGCCCGCCACGGTTAATGCCTGTCGATTTACGGAGGCGGGCGTTTTTTATTTTCTGAGGCGGGCACTTTTGCCCGCCACGGTAAATCGATTTACCGTGGCGGGTATCCTATATGGCCCGCCTCGGAAAAGGCCCAAGCCCAAAATCCCCAGCAAGGCCCGATTTTAACCTTGAGCTATATATACGAGGAGTTAGGGTTTTCTACCCCACTCCTCTGTCTCTCTCTTCCTCCACCGGTCGGCCCGACCTCCTCTCCGTTCCGCGCGACTGAGTCCGAGGCGAGGCGACCTCCCCACTCCCCACTCCGCGCGAGACCGAGGCAGTCTCCTCTCCACTCCGTCGTCACCACCTCTCCACTCCTCTCCCGACGCGACATCCACCGGCGGCGCTGGGGACATGGGGCGCGCGTCGGCTTCTGCGCGCGGGACCTGGCTCCCTTCCTCACGCGGCGGCG